GTGTTTTTGTGCTCACGGACACTTTGGTGTCCCAAGGAGTCTCAGCTTTGGTGCCAACACTTTTTTCACAACAAACAAACAAACAAACCAAGGTTTCGGGAGGCTGGTTGTGGGGTGGGGCAAGAATTCTACCATGACCATCACTTAGTGTATCAAAAGCACCCCAATGACACCCAAACCAAACGAACAGAAGTCAAAAAGCTCAAAACTAAATGTTTCTGGGGCTGGCCCAGATGTGATATGACTTGCTACTTCACGAATGCTTGTATGTATACATCCATTGAGCACCATTCAACGCATGTGATCAGAGAAACTATCCCGCACCTTTTCTGATTTCCCACACGCATCCCTTGTCACATCATCTGCACCCCAACTCTACAGCAAATTTGGAACTGTAAGTGTGCCTTCTTCCATTTCAGTTGCTCTTGTTCACTTGCGGCTGCTACTGGACTTCGGGGTCTCTGGTCAAGAGTTGAAAACAGCTCACGTCGAACAAAGGACAAAGCGAGCCATACATCATGGGTCAGGAAAACTAGTGTCTTCTCAAACAGTCTCAAGACACGGCGGACCATGAAGGGGAAAGTCGACGAATCACAGACCATGCTCAGAGTCGCATGAGTTTGCCAAGTGCATGGAGCAGAGGTGGCTCGTTCTAAGACAGGTGCTGAGCTCTCTTCAACATCTTCCGTTCAACAACTCCTCAACTCAGTTCCTGATGACTCCCTGCATGAACTGGATTCTTCTTGGAACGCTTGCAATGTGCCTGCTTGATGTATGGACTGGTCCTGGCGGTCAATTCATTTGGTGGGGAAAATAATGTTGAGATCTTCAAGTTTCATAGCATCGAACAGCCCCAGCAGTAAAGGAGGAAGAAGTACCAGATTGTAAGACATCAAAGGCCAAGAGTCCAGAGAGTGAATAAAAGAAAACCGTTTTGGGCGCAACCTGCAAAAGAAAGTGAGTGACAGGATCATGTCCGAGACGGAAGTAAATTCATGTATATAATTGTATGCTACCTTGAAGGCAGCAATGGCGGCTGTTGATCTGCATCCCAAATTCGAGGCATTTCCAAGTCAGAAAAGGATAATCAGGTGGTGGCACACCAGAACAAGTTGTGGAAAAAATGAATGTCACTCACATGATGCAATCCATGTTTCACACGATGGGTAGCTCTTTCAGTCCAACTTAATGTTTGATTCACCAGCCCATGCCATGCTCTAAGTCTCTGTTGTCTTGTAGAGTTGTGAGATCCAACCGGTCAAGTTCGCCAGCTATTGGACCGTTCGCTTCTCACGAGCGAGAGAAAGAAAGAAAGAGAGAGAGAGAGAGGGGGAGAGTGGTGTAGGCTCCACCATTGTTTGCAAGGTCTGAAAGGCATGTGGTGAGAGTTGAATGGGCCATTCGGGGCTTGAAGGCGGTCTTGAGACAATTCAGACGGTGTATGGTTGTTGATGTACAACAGAGACAGCAGAATGCCATTGGATGTAACAATGAGAGTTCCTTCGAACAAAAGAAACACTGTGAACGCCTCACCAACCTTCATCCTGGAGTTTATTATAATGTCGTGCGCTTGCTTACCCCAATGCATCGTGGAGAAAGCAGTCCAGGAAGCTGTTGTGACTCATCTCTCTTCCTGTGTGGATGTGTGACTTCTTTATGGGCTATGACTGCCACGAGTGCTAAGTGGTCTTTGTGTATCAAACCAGCACTCATGGTCGGGCCAAAGGCTTGTGAGCAGGAATAGGAGCTCGGAGCTCGGCACAAAGCTCGCATGGAAGGCAAAGGTGTGCAAGCTGCACCTGCCAGGAGTCTGGCTCCTGGGATGAGCAGTGGGGAGCTAAAGGCCTTGCATGGCCCTCCCTTGCTCCAAATGTGGCTAGCTTCAAGATCAAATCTAAGAAATGATCCAAAACAGTGCCAATATCATGTCATGCAACCTACTGACACTCAGATTTGGAGGGCAAGTGTTTTTGTGCTCACGGACACTTTGGTGTCCCAAGGAGTCTCAGCTCTGGTGCCAACACTTGTTCTCATCACAGTCACTTATTCGCAAACATGAGAAGTATCAGTTTAAATTCTGCAGGTCGACTCAAACACATTCCCGACTCTCTGCAACAGCATAAGCAAATAGACCAAAAAATAAGAAAATGTACCAGGTCATGCTGCCTACTGACACTCAGATTTGGAGGGCAAGTGTTTTTGTGCTCATGGACACTTTGGTGTCCCAAGGAGTCTCAGCTCTGGTGCCAACACTGTTTCTCATCACAGTCACATATTCGCAAACATGAGAAGTATCAGTTCAAATTCTGCAGGTCGACTCAAACACATTCCCGACTCTCTGCAACAGCATAAGCAAATAGACCAAAAAAAAAAAATGTACCAGGTCATGCTGCCTACCGACACTCAGATTTGGAGGGCAAGTGCTTTTGTGCTCATGGACACTTTGGTGTCCCAAGGAGTCTCAGCTCTGGTGCCAACACTTTTTCTCATCATCGTGACGAAGGCACGGTTCGGAGCATTTTAGTATATGTATGTGTATATATATACATGTGTGACAAATGTCCATTTTGGACCAATACTCAATACTGGTTCAAAACAAAGGCAAGCTCACTTGATTGGCCTCCATTTTCTGCTGTTCAGAAAGTCGGAAAGGCAATCTAAAAACTCGCACTCGGCCACTGTCATCACCTCGGTCACTGTCGTCATTCAACGAGTCACTGCCATCACCTCGGCTCCCATCTCAGTCTCTGGCCAACCCCCAGCAGGCCGCGCTGCTTCGGGTTGAAGGCCAAACTGGTTGCCTTTTGGGAGCCGGCACCTGTAAGTGGTAGCTCCAATACAGGTTCTTGTCGACTCCTGAGGCTGTCAGCATCCACCAGCAACGACGCTAGGAGCCTCCTGGCATCGCTACTAGCAACAAGGACGCTACTAGGGGCTCCTGGCCCTACTACTAGGAGCAAGGACGCTACTAGGAGCAAGGACGCTACTAGGGGGGCTCCTGGTAGGAGCAAGGACGCTACTAGGGGCTCCAGGCCTTACTACTAGGAGCAAGGACGCTACTAGG